TGTCAAATTTGACATTCACCAAGGGTGTTGGTACACCTAAGTATATGGCACCCGAGTTGTTGAATGGACAGAAATACTCAATTGCTGCAGACGTGTATTCACTTGGTATTACTTTCTTTGAGGCATTTGCATGGAAAGACGCTTTTGGAGACGTGAAATATTTCTTTGAAATACCCGAGTTGGTCTCCAATGGGAAGCGACCAGATGACAAGTGTCTTAGTGATGTTGAAAGGGGTTTACTTGAAGAGATGTGGGCACAAAAACGGAAAGAAAGAATAACGTGTGAGGAGGTTGTTGATATTATACAGAAAATGTTCGATAAAACAAAAAATGAAAATTTTTAAATTTAATTGTATAAGTATATATTCAGTATATGTTGTTTCAAGACCTTTTAAATAGAAGGTACCAACCTTTTGTTTTTAAACGAAAAAATTGTTTTTTTAATTTGGTTGTTTATAATTATAATTTTGACAAAAATAATAAAATAAAATATTCAAAAATTTTGGTAAAACGGGGATAATTATATATTTATAAAGTGACTTCCCCAAGGTGTGCAAGTTAAAATTTTTTGTCTTTTTTACAGGGAAAGGGCGTGCAAGACTAAATTTCAGTTGAAAAACATTTTATTAAAAATGTTATTCGTTTCAAAATTGTTTCAAAAAACACACAATTCTTCGGTGCTTGAATTAATAAACTACAAAAAGCAAATTAAATTATAAAAATTGGGTAATGGTTTGTCTATGTGTTTAATGTAAAAACTGTTTTGTTTTTAAAACGTGAATAAATGTCGATGTCTCTTGTGTTAGCGTAATTTAAAGCGACAAGAAGAAGTATGATAAACATTATGTTTTTCTCTGTGCCATTTTAAAGCAAACAATAACAAATAGTCTGTTTAATAGGTGCAGTTTATTGTTACAAATAGATGTGTACTGTTGTCCAGAACTGGTCCTTCGATAATTTCCATTGGGTCGCTTCCCCGAAATTGTTGCTTAATTTATTGTATTCGAAGTGTGAAAGTTAAAAATTGCAACGTCACAAGGTGTGCAAGTTAAAGTATAGTTTAGTAATAACTTCGAAATTATAATTAATAATTAAACTAAAAATAATCTTTTTTTTTCAAAATTTCAAAAAATTAATGATTCTATTTTTTTAATAAAAAAATTATAAATGAACTATACCTTAACTTGCACACCTTTAAACTAACTTGCACACCTTGGGAAGTCACTTTACATCAAAATATCAAGAGTAAACAACAAACAATTGGTTAAACAGTCCATATATCTGACAAGAAGTCAGACAACAATATAAAAATATGTGGATTATTTGTAATGGAGGGAAATTGATGTTAAAAGTGATAATATATTTGACACTTAAACCGTTTTAATTATTGCTTGTTTATTATAATTATTTGATAAACACGTTTCAAAAACTTAGTCACAATATAGTAAATACCAAGAGATGATAAAAATAAATTATAGACAGAAAAAAACGTTTAAAAATCTTGCTACATCGTACTGTTTGTCCTAAATAATACGCAGTTAATATAATGGGTTTTTTAAAAAGTTTTATTTTTTTAATAAAGACTGTTGTGTACAATAGTTTTATATGTTTACATCAATTATTACTGTTGTTTTCATGTTACTTTTGCAATTTGTATTTTATTTTCAACTCAAACCCAATTGTTTTTTTTGTTTTATGTATAAAAAACATATTTGTTTGTTTTGGAATAAATGTTATTGCATTTTACCAATATTGTTATTTTGCCATTTTTTACGTTATTGTCATGAAATTTTATATTTTTTTTCATTTTTTTCGCAATTTATTTGTTTTTTAGTTCACAATTTGAACTCGTTATTCCGTTTTCATTTTACTATAATTGAACTACACTGTATAATATAATTTTTTTCAAAAAAACAAAAACATTGCTCTTTTTAACAGTATTGGTTTGTTGGGGATTAGGTACGTCGGCGAGTTAATGAACACGCTATTTTTTATATAAAATATAAAAAAACTATAAAATATGAAACTCTTAATCAATCATTTAAGCTGTTTAATCTGTTAATACCCATTTGATGCAAAGTTATGTTTTGATATTAATTTATTTTTTATTGTTAAATACGTTTAATAGTTATCAATCATTTACTAGATGTCAAATGTTACAATAATTTATTTACTCTTTACTTTATTTTCATTTATCGCGTGAGTCACTTTTAATGCTGAACAAAAAGTGACTTATCAAATCAACCGAATAAATAAAAAAAAACTACAATGACTTATTTGAAAACTATAATGATCAGTTTAATTTAATTGCTGTGTTGAAGTTAAACAAGCTAGAACAAAAAATATTTTATAATTAAATAATAACAAATAATAACAAACTTACAATTATAGCTCGCTTTAAGCTATTGTTTATTCGTACTTTATACAACACACTCAATTATTACATCATGAAAAATAACAGTTTTTTAAGACTAAATAATAAGAAAATTACACATTTATTAATATATTGCCCGTTTTATCGTATAAAATTTGCTTGATATTCAATTGTAGTAATTATTCTGGTCTTCATTTTTAATCGTTTCTGTTAATTCAGCTATCCGTATTTTGTAAGATTTAAATGTTGTATGTTCCTCAAATGTCGTCTTTTAGAAAAAACCATAAATATTCAGATTATAACGTTTAAAAAAACATTAGACAACGTTACAAATTACCTTAATCAAATGACTATATATGCAAAACATTATTTTTTATTTATATTTAAACACAAACCTTACAAAGTTATAACTGTATATAATTTATCAAGTTTATTTTAAAAAAATATAACATTTTTTCTTTTTTGTGTTTTAAACTATATAGAACTTCAAATAAAAATGACTTTTTCATTTATGACAACTGCTTTGAAGATGCAATTTTTATTGACGATAAAAATAAAGACCTCTTAAATTGTGAAAGTACCGAATATTTAAGTCGAATTTTCGAAACTTAATTTCAATGAGAACGATAAATAAAATATATAACACATAAAAAACTCGCTACAAAAACATCTTCAGCAAACACAAAAAAAGACAAATGAGAAATACATAAGTACCCCATTCGTGTAATGACCTAGATTGGTTGAAATGTTGAAAGAATTACATTTCAGTTTGTTGATATTGGAAATGGTTGTTTTTACCAAGACAAATCCGGCAAACCAAAAATAATAATACAGAAAGACAACTTGTTTTTTCAACATTTTGTTTGATGCCAATTGTCTTAAAATTGTTATTGATTATATTAACAAATATACATCTTACAAGTTTTTGTGCTTTTGGAAAAATGCGAAACCAAACGAGATAAATGTTTTTCTTTCGGTTTCAATAAAGGAGGCGATCAATGACGATGTCAATAAAAATTTCATGAATTGTATATTACAGAATAATTACCAATTTATATTGCAATATTTTTTGAATACAGTCTCAAGCTATTATTTTAAAACATTCATTTTGACAATAAAAACAACAATAAAAAACAAAAAGATGTTGCTATTAGTGAACTGTTTGATTTGATTAACTTTCGAACATTGATACTCATCGATTGTTTTTTAAAACAAAATCATAAAGTTGATTTTATTTGGACATTTCAGAAAATACATTTCAAAATTTACAAAAGATTCAGGTAAAAAATTTAGAAGATCGATGTGTTCTTTTCGTCATCCAAATTTAAAATGGTTTATGTTAGGTTACAAAAAATAAACAACGAATTTGTCTTGTAACAACAAAAAATGGAAAATTGTAATTGATATAAATACAAAGATTTTAATAAACGATATTTGAGTATAACATAATGAAAAGAGAAGAAGATATATTGATAAAATCCGTTCCTCTCATACCACAAAAAACTTCAAAAATGGGCAGTCTCTTATTTTTGGTTTTTGTTAAATTTATGTGTGCATGTTGTATTTGTGGTGTGGAAAATAAAACACCAAGATGTGGAAAATTATATTAACAATATTTGTTTCTAATGGCCAGCCAATATGTCGCAGACTTTATAAAAAATAGAAAAATAACAAAAATAACAAAGGAAAGTGAAACCTAACAAAGACAAATTAAATATTGATATTCGACTTTCTGATTTTGTATTTTACAAGTTTTGGCAAAAAAAACAATATGGATGTTGTATAACATGTAAAGCCGATAGCCTTTATATAAAAACATTTTTTGTGTGTCACTTTTGCAGCAAGAATATACCAATTTGGACATGTGGTAAGTGCGGAAATTGGCTTTGTAAAACCGTTTCAATTATATGAAAACTAATTGATTTTGTGTTTTTGAATTTTTTCGATTGTTCTAAAATATAATAATCAATTAAACGAATCCAATTTCCACCTTTTCACAAAAAAGCTCAAACAGTTTACTTGCTTATGTTAATATCGTATTAAAAATGCACACGTTTATAAATAATATTGCAATATTTCATTAATTAAAATCTTTTTTTTTCAAGTATATTTGTTACTTCTTTGATTCCAATTCTCTCAGTTTTGTTGTGCTTCCAACAGTTTTGTATTAATACAAACAGACCATCTGGGATGCTTTCTTTTTTAACAAGACGTTTTTTGGACATAACAAACTCAGCTATTTTCCATGGAAATTTAAATGATTGTTTTGGATATGCGTCGCACCACCCAAACACTTCATACATAGTAATTCCAAAAGAAAACACATCTGAGCTTTTTGTATATTTTAAACCTTCCAATATTTCAGGCGCCATATACTTTGGTGTTCCAATACCTTTTGTAAATGTCATGTTTGTCATTAGTAAATTAATGTTTCTTGCACTCCCAAAATCAGTTAGTTTTGCATTTGCTTTATCGTTTAAGTCAAGTGAAAATACTAAAATGTTGTCTGGCTTGATGTCTCTATGTAATATCCCATTTTCATGAAGATATAAAATCCCCTCAGAAGCATCTAAAATCATTTTAAGTCGCATATTCATTTTAATTTGTTCATTATTTACATTTAGAATCAAGTCTTGCAAACTTCCAAAATGTGCAAATTCAGTGACCATACATATTTTATTTGGTATTAAAACAGCTCCATAAAAGTGGACAATATACTCACTTCGAAATTTGTCCAACATTTCAACTTCTTTTTCAAATTCAGAGAGTTTATTTGTTTCGTTTGTTATTTGTTTCATCTTTTTTATAGCAACGACATTTCCTCTATAAGTCCCTTGATACACGATTCCAAATGACCCTTCGCCAAGTTTCTTTTCTTCTATTATTTCATCATAATCCAGTCGTGTGGAGTTCTTTGTTTGTGCTGTTATTTTAATTGAAGTTGTGTTTTGTTTGCCTGTTGTCAAATCAAGTGCAATTATTATAATTTCATCTATTAGTTGCATAGTGCAATATGGTGTTAAAAATATTTCAAATTCGCATGCAAAACCACATTTAAGAGTAACAATTTGTGGTTCAGTTCTGATCGTGTATTTATTTGTATCTGTTTTTGTTGAAATTTGAACTTTTAAACGACTCTTAGAACCGTTTCCAACACACAGCAATTCACGAGTTTCAACTCCAATATCAATTTCGTCGTTTTGATCTCCAAATGATATTTCTTGTTTGTTTGAAAGAACATCGTCACCCATTTTTGTCATTACTATATTAGAACGGTTCATTTTGAATATACAGAGATTTTTAGTTATCGATTTTTCTTCACTTTTGTTGACTATAATCATAACAATTATTATCGATGATATAATAATTAGAAGTATCAATATAACACATGCTACTGGTAATATAATTACCAACCAATAATTAAACGATTTGTCACATTCTAGTTTGTCGCTACTTAATTCATATCCATCTGAGCACTTTGTACAAACGGAGTTTTGTGATGATATACAATTACTTATTTGTGTAAAATGAACACATTTAAAATCAATAAGAATGTTGTCATTTGCACAATCCAAACACTCGGTAATGGTAATACATGAAGTGCAATTTTCACCGCATTTGTAACACAAATTGTCTTTTAGTGCAAAACCACCTTCGCATAATATGCACCCATTTGTCGTTTTATTCAAACAATTTATAAGTTCATCTTGTGGATTGCAATATTTTGTTATATTGTTTGGAGTTCTATAATACATGTCATTGCAAATAAAACAATTCCCATCGTTCGAACACGTTTTACATGATACATCACACTTGTCACATTTCTTACCATCTGAGGATCGCATATACCCATCTTTGCAAGCAACACACCCGTCGTATGTTGACATCATCACATCACAAGTACTCAATAAATCATTTATTTCAACACATTTTCCATTTGTTGCATATGAATATTTACCACATTTTGTACAATACGTTTCATTAGAACAATAAGAGCAGGGGGATTTGCAAATAATGCAAATAGAATTTATTATGTGATATCCACCAGAACATCTCAAACACCCTTTGGAACTTCTTTCAATACAATTGTCATTATATTCAGTATTTGTTTTAAAAAAAGAATTAACAGTTGTTGTATCTTTTACACACAAATTTTCAACTAGAAGATATGGTGTGATGCACTCATTACAAGTTTCATAAACTACATCGACAAATTGGCAATTTTCATATTTTCCCTTTTTAGTTACACACCCTTCAACGTTTTTATAATAAGTTTCTTCACATGATTTACATATATTATCATTAAATTCTTTGCATTGAATTGAATCAATCGAAACACATTTCCCTTCAATTGTTATTTTGTTGTTACATGAAATACACATGTCTTTGTTTTGAATTAAGCAATCGATGTCATTATCAATACAAACATTATTATTCATGTGATTGCCTGTTATACACTCGACACAGTCACTTCCTCTTATTATTTGACACTTTGAATCTGTTACACATTTTTGATTTGAAGTTAACACTAAATTTTCTTTGCAAACGAAGTCGACCAATTCGCCATTTTCCATTCGACAAATTTCTGCATTTTCACATAATTTGGTTTGACCAAATTTTTCATAAGTTGTGTAATAATTTTGATTTGCTAAATAACAAAACTCATTTTGTGTATATTTACAATTTGTAACAATAAGTCCACAACCCGTGTTATTGTTACATATCAAACAAGTTTTGTTCTCATTTTGAGTTAATTGATATTTGCATTCTTCCTTTAATGAACAATTTCCATTTGTTGTTATGACATTAGATTCACATATTTCACAAGTTGTTTTAGAGTATTTGTGGCAATTTGTATCTTTATCTCCGCACATCTCTTCATGTAAATAATCATTTATATCACAAGAAAAACACGAAGAATTTACTTGAAGGAGGCACCCGATATCATTGGATATTGCAGATTTTGTTTCATAATCAAAATGAGTCGAATTTGAATATGACAAAACACATTTTTCATTTTCAACAACATAAGGAGTATAACACATTGAACAAATTGGACTTCCGTTGTTATATTCACAAAGTTGACATTTTTCAATTACAAGATAACATTCAAAACATGTTTTTTTTGTTTGTTTTTACTTTTCCTGTATCACAAGAAATACATTGAGTTCCATCTGTTATTAAATCATTATCACATGAATAACACTCTTTTTTAGTTGTTGAACACTCAACACATGAAGGTATATTTGCGCATGTCAAACACGTGTTATCGTCTAAGTAATATCCACTTGAACATTCGGCACATTCTTTTTGTGATTCATTTTCGTTTGAATCACAAGAAAAACAATTGTTATTTGAAGAACAAGAAACACATTTTTTGAATAATCCGTTTGTTGTCTCCTTGTATCCAGGTTGACATGAAGTACACACTCCACTTTCTCGACTACAATTATTACAATCAATTGGACATGGCAAACATCGAGAAGTTCCATTAAGTGAATATTGATTTTCACCACAAAGTGTACATTGACCATCGTAGTAACCATATCCAGCTTTACAATTAAAACATTTCCCATTAATTTTATTACAAGAAGAACAAGATGAGTTACACTGTTTACAAGTATTTTGTCCATCTTTGTTTTGATAAAAGCCATCATCACATTCGGTACATTTAGAATCCAAAGAAAAAGTACCAATTGTACAAATCAAACAATTTTTTGAACTATCCAAGCCGTACCCATCAATACAATTTGAACACTTTCCATTTGTTTTATCGCACGTTTTACATGTATTACTACATAAAGTACATGTTTCTGATTTTTCTAGTGAATAAGTGTTCTCTTCACATGATGTGCACTCCGTTGAACTTTCTTTTGAATAAGTTCCAGCTGGACAATTATCACACGTGTTTGTTTTCATATTTGCAAAAGTCCCTCCACTGCAAACTGAACATATTTTTGTATTTTTGATACTACCCACTGGACATGAAACACAATATCCGCTGTCTTTAGCACACTGGTTTTCACTGCATGAATCGTCACAATTTTTACATGATGATGCTCCTTCATTGTCAGAGTAAAAGCCAATTGGACATTCTGAACAATTTAGACTTCCTGGTAATGATGAATATGTTCCTTTGGGACAATTTTGACACATTTTCTCTGTTTTATAGTAAAATGTACCACTTGCACAGATAGAACACAAACCATTATTTACGGTATATCCTACTTTACATGAAGTGCACTGACCAGTTTGTCTTTCACATGTTGTACAATTAGAACATTTGGTACACTCTGTACTATTTACAAGAGAATAATTATTATCACCACTACATGGATAGCAATTGTCTCCATTTTGAAATGTACCTGCTTGGCATACTACACATTTACCTTCGGATAATCGAGACCCTTTATAACAAGAAAGACAATTTCCGTTGGTTTGGCTACAATTCGCACACAACGAATCACAAGCAGAACAACTTGTAGATCCGAGAAATGAATAATAATTTGGGGCACATTGGGAGCATGAAACAGTTCCTCCTGGTGAATAATAACCAGGTATACACTTTTCACATTTGATGCTTGAAATAAACCCACTTCCTGAACGACAGGCAATACAAATACCAGTTTTTCTATCACACGATGCACAAGTCTCTGAAACACACGAAGTACAAACAGAAGATTTTTCCTTTGAATAGAAACCTTCTTTACAATTATCGCATTTTTGGATCCTTCAAATTCTGAATAAGTTCCTGGTGGACACGGATAAAAATTATTGCCATTTGGGCAGAAGTAACCAGGCAAACACTCCTCACAACCCGAATCCCATTCATAATAACCATTTCCACAATTTATTGTGCCAGAAGATTTAACAACACACAAAACCAATAACTGTATGATTAATAAACAAAACGGGTTCATAAATTAATATGGTTTTTGAATTCAATTAGTTTAAATTAATAACATTCAAATATTAATTGGTTAAAACTGTATAAGACAAAATTTAATTAGTATTGAAGCAATTTATATTTTTTAAGAATAATAATTTTATTAATAATAGACTAAATAATAATATTATATAACATCTCAAAAAAATCTCCTAGATGTGAGTTCATTTTTAAAACTTTTTTACCAAAAAAATTCTTAACATTTCAATTATTTCATTATATATTTATATCATAAATAGTATAGTATAATAAATATATTTATAAAATAACACTAAAACACTGATTTTAAATAACATTTGAGATCGCTTATATTTTATCTTTTTGAAAAAAAAAACATATCAATTTATATGTGTGATTTGTATTAATAATTATTATAAATTTAATTAAGTAGATACTTCATGTATTCGGAATGTGAGTTCGATGTATATGGCATGCTTATGATATTTATTGTTAATCTGTTTTAATAAAGAACCAATTCGCACAATTTTTGGTTGTTAATAATACAAACTTATGAAAAAAAGTGTTTTTATAATATACAGATGTGGAACTACAGATTCGACTGGGACTATGGTTTCGACTATAAAAAAATTAAATAAAAACTATTGTCAAAACTAATTAAAAAACATAAAAATGTAAATTGTTTTTACTAAAATATTTTTTGATTTTAATAAAATTATTTTTATATTAAAACGGTATTGCAGAACTTCTATCATACAATTTCGATTTATAAATAAATGGAAAAAATATTTAACAAAACAATAATTTTTAACAAAGAAACACAAAATCTCAATAAAACAATATGTTACAGCAACGACCACAAACATTTATTGATTCAGTGAATCAGATTGTTAAAAGTGGACAATACATCAAACCTTATAAACCACTGAAAACCAAAAACCAGAGATACCCATCAATAGACAAAGGAACCATGGAAGAAAACATCAAATTTGAAGAAAAGCACAAAGATCATTCAAAAAAATCAATTGAAGAAGCGAAAACTGTCTTCAAAAACATCGACATGACAGCATTTGGCTTGCAAACGAAAATCGAACAAATCAAATTCATCCACCATCGCTACAAATTGAATTTAGAATCAATTGGTATATTGTTTGGATTGTCCAAATCATCAATTTCAACTCATTTAAAACAAAAGGAACAACAACCAAATCACAAAACAAAATTCACCGAAACAATGGATACAGCAATATCTGCGTTATTGAATTACTGCGAGTTAAACAAAATGAGTGTTACTCCGTGGATGATTGATGTTTTATGTCAGAGTTTTGATGATACATTCGACGTGACTTCAAAGGGTATTATCAAACACGTGAAAGCGTGTCATGGTTATGGTACTGCAATTGCAAAGACTGAGGATTTGGACAGAGTCGAAACTAATTATTTCAATATTATTTCAAATTACATATCTTTTTCAGTTAATTTTAATGGTACACATTCTTCTTTAGTGTTTAACATCGACGAAGTGGGATTTAACGAGTGGGCGGATCAGCAAAAGGTAAAAGTTTTCACAAAAGATCGAAGAGATGTCAAAGTCGGTATTCAACGCAACGCAAAAAGAAGCACAATTGTAGCTCTCATTTCAGCCGATGGGCATTTTATCACACCAGCAATCGTTGTTCCCAATGTTTATTTCGAAGAATCACTTGTTGCTGAATACCCGGAGGCATCGTTTTATTATACAAAAACAGGATTTGTTAATAAATTGATATTCAAAACGTGGATGTATGAAAAGGTGTTGAATTATGTTATAATAAGAAGAGAAGAACTAAAGCTTGATCCAAGAGAAATTGCAGTCATCATAATGGATAACTTCTCTGGGCATTTAGACCAGACGTTGGAATCAGCTTTTAACTCCAACAACATCTACTTTCACTTTCTTGAACCACATGCGAGTCACGTCATGCAACCTTTGGACTTGTGTTTCTTTGGTTTGCTGAAAAAGTTTGCCACAACATCATCAGCAGTATTTCCAAGCATCAAGTGTGTTGTCAAAACGTTTAACCAAGGTCAAAGTTGTGTTCAAAGTGCTTTTTCTACTTCAAGTTTGAGCAATACTGATGTTGTTGTATCCGATACCACTGTTGAGACCGCGTTGGCTGTTTGGATAAAAGAAGTAAGCAACGCCAATTTTTTGCGAACTGAAACAGCTCAACGAGGTCAGCTCATTTCAACTCATGTGAGAAAGGTATTGGATGTGATTTACAAGAAA